CAGATTTATGATACATATGCAATCAGTGCAACCGTCTGCAGAAACTCATGGAAAGCTGACACAGAAAAGCGAAAGATCTAGGGTCATTCTGCTGAAGTTTTCCACTGCTATTACAACTAAAGAGCAATTTTATGAAACAAAATGTCGATGCAATTTTTATTTATATCTTGGTCAACGAAATTCTATCTTAATATTCCTGTCCCAAAAGTATATAATACAAAACTATATTGAAGTTCTTAGTACTCACCAGGGTTTGAAAACTTTGATCTGTTGCACCCTTAAAGAAAGCCTTTCATAGCGCTAACTTGAGCGATCTATCCGTTTTATAATCAATCTATCTGTTATCTATCTATCTGTTGTATTTTTTTATATATTTTATTTAAAAAAATTAAATAATAAAAAAATAATAATTAAATTTTTTTTATAATAAAAAAAATTTTGCTTAAATTGGTTAAGTTTTCTAAAATTACGTTCTTTTGATGTCTTAAAAATTCTCATCAAACTAAGACTCAAACTTCTAGTTTAAAAAGAGCCTTAAAGTTGTAATTGCTCAGTTTTGAAATCATAAGCGTTGTTGGTTAGCCTCGTCATTTTCTTCAGTTCCTTTCTTTTGGTTGTTGTTCATATACTTTTTCTATGAGCAGTTTTCACGTTTACTAATCTGTTAGAAGCACTGAAGGTGCGACACACGTTTGTATCATTTAATTGAGTAAGGTATTACCAGCAATGGCTTAGACTAAGCTAACTTAATTAAGAATTATTCACTTTCTGTACGTATTTTAGTTAGTCTATATTTAAGTATCTATGACGTACAATAGGTTTAATAATCACCGCTTACCTGCTGATTTTCATCTAGCATCGGACTTGAAACCTATCTCAGAATTTGAAAATCCTAATTTTGGCGGGTTTACTTTAAATTACTTCTTGGGTTTGCCGATTTGGCGTCAAAATTGACAGCTTGGATCATATCTGTTTTCCAATTTTGACGTTTTTTTTCAAAAAAAAAACTTCGATTGATTGCTCAAAAAGTTTTCACGGAGTTCAATTTTGAATAGTTGAATGTTTTGAAAGCCTTAAGTTTTTGAGTAGGTATGCTTGATCAGACGAGCAAAGCTTGTGTGATAGTATGAACTCTCTTTTTTCCAAACTAAGTCGCCAATTTAGAGTTAATTTTGGAAGTGTTCGTTTATTGCAGTATGTGCATAAGATCAATAACCAGCTATTAAGTACAGCCAGTGCTAAGGATATTAACACAGACTACTATATTACAAATAACACTTTAGCTTCAAGGCATCGTGAATCTGTCGCGTAGAGGTTGGGAAGGAAACTGGTAACAAAATAAGAGGGTTCGAAACTGGACAGGGTCGGATGTTTTTTTAATGAAATTTTTGGTATAGTAATTGAAATGCATCCGCTTTATAAATTGAGGCTTGTTTGTGTATTTTTTTCATATTGACTGGTACTGCTAATGTGCCGTAATTGCCTCAACGTTTTACTCATTCAGTTTTTCCCAGTAGCGTTATCAGTCATATTTTTGCTTGTGTATGCGAACTGCAACTTCGCCTCTGTGTTCAAAGATGGATAGCATCAATTGATATACATACGGTACGGGGTAGTTTTCAAAAAAAATGTCATGTTAGAATCTACTTGGCGAATATATGATAATACAAATAGAATCGTTTTAGAAGTTTTTTTCTTTTGAAAAGTGAAGATGTATGCTGTCGGCTTTTTCAGGGTTAGTTTTTGTGATTTAATACGAATGAAAAAAATACTAAGATATGAAGCCCAGTAGTTTAAGAAATATGTTCATTTTCTTTTAAAGAACCTTCAAGTGAATTTTTGCTTGCCATTTTTTTTAATGAAATATAAGGCGTTGTTGGATGCCCTAATCTATTCTTACGATTGCATTTGTTTTGGCGTTTTTTTAAATCTTTTTTAAATAGTCGTTTTTCATTTTTATCAATCTGTTTGAAACACCAGTTTTACATGTGTAATCAAAGACCTATCTCGCCATGTCAAACTGTATTCTAATTTTGGCAGTTAATTAAAAAGTTATGCATAACTGATCCGTTCCTCTTTAATAAGCATGTATCAGAAGCAAGTATACCGGATCAGCGGAATGATATTTGCCCATCTTTCTTCAGTTGGTATAAACTTGAAGCTAAAACTAATGCAGGTGGCATAGCTTTGATTGGTTCAACAGAGTTTTGAGACTTTAAATCTTACGCTATCCAGTCTCTAAAATGGTTCCGCGAGTACCAATTTTCAATTGCAGGTCACTTTTTTGAACGCGCAGTGATAGGGGAGAAATGCACATCCATCAATAAAATTGACTCATGTATTTGCAATTCTCCGAAATTTAGAGTAATTTTAGTATCAACGTTTTACTCATTCAGTTTTTCCCAGTAGCGTTATCAGTCATATTTTTGCTTGTGTATGCGAACTGCAACTTCGCCTCTGTGTTCAAAGATGGATAGCATCAATTGATATACATACGGTACGGGGTAGTTTTCAAAAAAAATGTCATGTTAGAATCTACTTGGCGAATATATGATAATACTAATAGAATCGTTTTAGAAGTTTTTTTCTTTTGAAAAGTGAAGATGTATGCTGTCGGCTTTTTCAGGGTTAGTTTTTGTGATTTAATACGAATGAGAAAATACTAAGATATGAAGCCCAGTAGTTTAAGAAATATGTTCATTTTCTTTTAAAGAACCTTCAAGTGAATTTTTGCTTGCCATTTTTTTAAATGAAATATAAGGCGTTGTTGGATGCCCTAATCTATTCTGACGATTGCATTTGTTTTGGCGTTTTTTTAATCTTTTTTAAATAGTCGTTTTTCATTTTTATCAATCTGTTTGAAACACCAGTTTTACATGTGTAATCAAAGACCTATCTCGCCATGTCAAACTATATTCTAATTTTTGGCAGTTAATTAAAAAGTTATGCATAACTGATCCGTTCCTCTTTAATAAACATGTATCAGAAGCAAGTATACCGGATCAGCGGAATGATATTTGCTCATCTTTCTTCAGTTGGTATAAACTTGAAGCTAAAACTAATGCAGGTGGCATAGCTTTGATTGGTTCAACAGAGTTTTGAGACTTTAAATCTTACGCTATCCAGTCTCTAAAATGTTTCCGCGAGTACCAATTTTCAATTGCAGGTCACTTTTTTTGAACGCGCAGTGATAGGGGAGAAATGCACATCCATCAATAAAATTGACTCATGTATTTGCAATTCTCCGAAATTTAGAGTAATTTTAGTATTAAAAGTCGGAAAAGTCGAGTAGAAGAGGGTTAAAGTTCTCAAAAAATGACATTCGTTTTTTCACTTTAACTGTCGATTTGATTGACTGAAAGTTTTTGTGTTCATTGTTTTCCGGTTATATTCAAATAATTCCGTCCAAGGAACAAGTTTTTTTGTTTTTTTTGTAACTGCTGCATATTTAAAAAATAATAGAAGTTTTAAATTTCATAGCATTCTTCTATGCAAAAAGAAAGTAGAGCCTGCTCTCAATACTTTTCAAAAATTTTAAGTTTTGGTTGCACTAATTTGAAAAGATGATATGAATGACAATACCACGGCGTTTCATTTGCCCTCGGTCCTACTCAATGCAGGAAAATCCGTGGGGGAGGGGGATTTCATCCATTTCTCCGCATCCAGTCCCACCTTGAGGAGGCGGATGACACTGGGAACCCTCCGGCCATGACCAAAGTGAGATTCGAACGCATGACCCTCGTTTTGAGAGACGCTTGACTTACCCCACTCGGTCATGGCTGCTCCTTTTTTTTACTACGACGTAAGTTTTCCTGTTTTCCCTCTGCACAATCATTTCATTCACCTGGTTTAAATTTGTCAGGTGAAAATCGCTAAATTGTACCAATTTTGCAATATTTTCGTTTTAATTATCTTCTGATTTTTTGTGTTGTACACTGTAATGTTGTCACATATTTGTGTAGCGCAACTGGTGCGAGGCCTCGTCTATATTTGTGTTACCGATAAGTCAGGCGATTTTAAACTGAAGGATGCGATTCAAGATTGAAATTTGATGCTCCCAAATGTTTAACTTTTAACTATTGGTATATTTTAGTTTTTTTGCTTTTTCTAGGTTATAAAACACCAAATCGTTCGGAAGTCATGTTGTTTGTTACTAGTCATGGAAGTTGAGTAATAGTAAAATAATTTTGTGTTGTAAATCTTATACTTTTCAATGTTTTCAATTATTTCAGAAAATTCTGATAAATTTGGAAGCTCCAACTTCTTTTTTTGAATCGATTAATTTAGAAGACTCAAATTCAGATTTTAACTGCTGTTAGTAGTAGTAGTTCAAGCAGGATAAACAAATAATGAAATTTATGTTGATTGTTTGTAATCAGGAGGATATCAAACAACCCGCTGCTCGAATTATTCGTAAGACCAAGTTATTTTTCCGATAATCGTTATATTCGAAAATTTTTTGCTTTATTATAACTGATTTCCGAGTTGGCTAATGTAATTGGTGCACTTTTTAATTCTGTTTTGAAAATATAAGGTCGAGTCGTTAGAGTGAACTGTACTTTTTTCATGATTCTTGAAACCTATATATGTATATATATTCGAGAATATTCGAGTAGACGAATAATCGAGAAGTCGTAACATGCCAGTATCTCAGTATCGAGAAAAACTGATTTAAAAGTTTTGTTTTTTTTTATTTCAATTTCGAGCGAATAAAGTGAGCGAGCAGGCTTACAACAGACCACAAGGATTTTTTTGCTTGCGCTAATTTCATGTTAAACTGCTGTCAGAGAAATCCGTTCTCCTTCTTGTCAATCAGCAGTAGCTCTAGAGTTTGTCAAGGGAGCCTTGGGATCACTAAGTGTTAATAAAGTTTGCCAAAGTTCGGCTTAAATTCAGGGCGTTCTTTACAAATACCGGAAGTGTTGCACAAAATGGTCATCCGCTCTTTTTTATTGTCTTTATCTAGCTGCAATTAGTTCTATAAACCCTTGTTCTAGGCTAAATATGGCGCTGGCGCAGGCAGACGGAAACCAAAATGTGAAAACTTAAATGAAAGAAATAACCGAGAACTGATTTGCCGCCCATAATGGACGATGGAACTCGCGCTGATTCTTCAAATGCGACGATCACCATCGCTATATGCAGAGCAACCTTGGGAAATGCGACCAATTCTGTAATTGTTACCTCATGCAATATAAGCGACGACTCGACTCGGAAAATTAGGGTGGGCCGAGCCGAGCATCCGAATGACGAGTCGTTTCTCTCTGTGACTCATGAAACGATTTCTCAGCTGCACTGCGAGTTAGATTTTGATTCAGATAGAAGAGATGTAAATACATTTAAAGTCGTGGACAGAAGTCGCAATGGAGTTCTAGTGAATGGTCATAAACTGACTAAGAACGAACCCACTAGCGTTCATTTCGGTGACCCAATTTTGATTGGCAAAAAGTCTGTGGATGATTGTGTGTGGCTTAAAGTTGAAAGACAATCTGAGATTGCACTACCTGAGGTTTGATAGAAATTCTTTTAAGCGTTATTTGCGAGGCAGAAAATGTAAATTCGAGTATGGGACTTTTTTCATAATTTTTTTGTCGGCAGATTTTCATGTAGTTATTTGGGTACGAGCTTTTGCGAACACTGAAGGAGAGGAGGAATTGTACATTCGGATGTTTTTTTTTTTTTTCATCCAAGGGTACTACGAAGGAACTACGAATAGGGTACTGCCTGATTACTACGAAGTAACGTCGAACAGATTCAAATGAGATATCATATTTGAGTTTTTGGAACTTGTGTCGAGAAATACCCGTCGATTTGGTTTCGTTTTTTGGACTTTCAGGCTCCCTTCGTTGCCATTTTCTTTTCATAGCCTTTTCAGGAAACAAGAAATTCTTATTTTTTAATTTCATTTATTGAGACCGTTTTTTGCTAACTCACGATTATTCTACCAGTCCATTGAGCATTCCGATTTTCGAGAAAAATAAGTCGAACTTATATGTTCCGGTTCGATTTTTCAGACCATTTTTTTACATACACCGTTTGACAAAACTTGTTTCGTAGCATCTGAAAGATTTCGATGCGCTTTGTTGAAATTGAAAAAAAACTCTCCAGCTTTTTTAAAACGTTTAGCGCATGCATTGAGTTTAGCGCATACAAATTGTTTAAGTTGAGAATGCTTGTTGTTACCAATATTGCTATTTAAAATTAAAACTAGTTTTGATACGTTAAAGGGTTGTGGGAACACTCAGTGCCATGACTTGGTACTACCACTTTTTCTGATACTATCAATGAAATGATGGAAAGTTTGTGGTCAGGATGGTTGTTTTCCAGAGAAATTGCGGCTCCTTAATTTTTGAACTTTTTTTTTCTTTAATTTTCAGTTGCTGCTTAAGTTTTCAGTTGCTCAATATTAAGTGGTCTGATGGTAATTTTGTTTCCAGCTGCTCAGAATAAGCTTTTCTTATATGAATTGCTTTCAAGCATAGAGATTTTTGGTTTCTCAACAGAGGCAATGAGCGTCATTCAAACATAAAAAAATTCTTTGAACTTTTGATGCATTAATTTTGCCGAAATGTTTCTGTTTTTGCTATAGTAGCAAACTTTTCCTGCATTAAAAATGCTGAATAGCTTTTTTTAGGTCTCTAAAATGACAAAATGTTTTCGATTATTGCCTTTCCTTTAAAGTAAAATTTGAAAAAATTTACAGTTGCTCAATATTAAGTGATCTGATGGTAATTTTGTTTCCAGCTGCTTAGTATAGGCTTTTCTTATATGAATTGCTTTCAAGCATAGAGATTTTCGGTTTCTCAACAGGCAATGAGCGTCATTCAAACATAAAAAAATTCTTTGAACTTTTGATGCATTAATTTTGCCGAAATGTTTCTGTTTTTGCTATAGTAGCAAACTTTTCCTGCATTAAAAATGCTGAATAGCTTTTTTTAGGTCTCTAAAATGACAAAATGTTTTCGATTATTGTCTTTCCTTTAAAGTAAAATTTGAAAAAATTTACACCTATAATGTCTATGTATTTTAGTTTGCTGCACTGTAGTTCCTTGTTAGTTCTAATCATCGGTTGATTATGTAAAGCGTCAAGACCTTTTAGCCCAGTTCTGACATGAAAATCTGTTTTCGTTCTATTTGCTTTCGCGAATTTTTTTTTTGATGTATTCTTTTCTGGCAAGGTCAAGTAAAAAGTGATAAATTTTCCTTCTTTTAACGCACAGATAGGACAATTAGCTAGCCTGTTGTAATTGGGTTTTATATTTTTTCGTGTAAAATCAGGGGGTATAAATTACTTTGCTCGCGAAATTTTACTGGCTTCAATTAAACCAATTCCAATGGTAATTCTGCCCATTTAGTCTAGAAGTACCACCCGTTCTTGGGACGACTTAGGCCAAGCATTCGAAGCCCGGCGAGACCTGCATTTTTTATACACTGCCAAATATTCTGCTGAATAAAAAAATAGACTGTTGTGTGTCTGCTTATTTTTGTAAAATTGTGTGCCGTTTTCTTGAGGGATCTGCAATTTTTAAGAGTCAATGAACGTTGTGAAGACTCTTGTGTAAGTCTTGATAATTCTTTGCTTAATTTTTCATTAAAAAGTCACTTGTTTTTTTTTCGCATTCTAATTTGATGTTTCGTGGTTTGATTTTTGATTTTTTCAGTTCATTTCCTTTGTTAAAAGGAAGGCAAACTCCAGTATCGTGGAGCAAAAGTGTAAAGGTCACCAAAAAACGTGAATGACTACTAGTTTCGAAAGTGGATTTTACTTTTCAGATTTCCCAGCCGCATAAAAATCTGACCTTTGATCAAGTTTTCTCAATTAATTTAATTTATCAATTAGTGCCAATTACAAATTGTTCGTGAAATTCAAAGAGCCTTAAGTGCATCTGTTTTTTCTTTGAAATTCGAAAGTTGACATTTTTGTTCGAGTAACAAGTCAGTTGTCTTTGTTTTTTTTTGCGTTCATTGACTTTTTCCAACTATCTGTTGGCTATGTTATCATTTTCGAGTAACCTATTCAACATTAGTAATGGTGCATATAATTGAATTGTAAGATTTTTTTAATTATTTTTTTTTCGCTCAAGTTGTTGTGTTTTGCTGTTGTTGTGTCGTTGTTGCCTCGTTGAGGGGCAGTGCATTAAGTTTCAAAATTTTCCTTCGGTATAAATGGTTTCAGATAATGTTTTATCGGCTTAAGTATTAAGTAGTTTTGGCCTCATATTAAGATGTTCGATTTTTTTTGGCTAGTGGCGTCTACCCGTTCATTTTCTGCTTATTTACTGCTCGATGTTTTTTCAATTCTTATTTAACCCAGGCATTGTGTTTCTCCGGGTGGTTTCCTTACTTCACTCCAGACAAACTTATAAAAGTTTTGGTTGATTTTTATGTTCACTTGTTTCAATCATTGTTTTTCGACTCGTCTCTCGTTTTAATTTCTTTCAGCTAATAATTGTCATGCTAATTGAGGTAATTTTTGTGCTGAGAGCAACATGATTTTTTAGGCAGAAAACTTTTATTTTAAATCTGCGTCAGAGACTAATTGCTTTTCTTCTGGGATATTTGCTTTAAACCACATAAAACTGCCTGTTTCGTTCTAGACACTTGTTTCGCAGATAGACGAGACACAAGAATTCGATGTGACCGAAAACCAAGAGTCCGAAATTAACGCACCGGTGTCAGATCTTATCCAAAGCCAACCTAACGTCAGTAGTTCAAATGCAGTCACAGGCTCAGTACAAACATATCAGAACAATCTCGTTGATAACATCGTAGATACCAACGAGGCAAACATAATTTCCGTCAAAACAGCAGAATTAGAGAACTCGGAATCTACGGATAAAAGGGCTGCTAGCTGTAATGTATATTCTGAAAATGGGCAAAAAAGACAAGCTGAGAATAAACTGGAAGATGAAGCACCTAGTTGTTCTAAAACTGCGAAAAGTGACTGTTCCAGCGGCACAGATCAGCGTGAAGAAATTGTGAAAGAAAAAAGTGATGATACTGGGGTTAAAGTTGAAGAAACGGGTTCGGATAGCGATGGGCAGAACATGTTCGGCTGTGAACTCAAATGCTCCATATGCACTGAAATATTCCATCAACCAGTGTCTTTGCAGGTTGGTATTTCATTCTTTGCAGGTTGGTGTCATTGCAGGTTGGTGTTTCTGGATTCCATAGACAAATCTTTGAACATGTTAAAATTTTGTCGGAACGATCAAAGAAAATGAAAGAACATAAGAAGAACAAAAGGAGCGTCCTTGTTGCGGAATCCGCTTACAATCCACAAAATGCACAGTTTGGCCTCGTAATGTTATTATTGAAAGGCCTCTTTTATAGATCGTGTCTGGTCAACTAGGGACAGGTGATAAATGGGAGCAAACTTCATCCGTATTTTTTTTCGGTCCACTTTTCCCAGCTGCCGAACCTAATTTGAGCAAGCATTGTCTAATTTTTAATTCTAGTTTCGAGCTGTTTGTTTTGACTTTGCAGACTACCAATTATCGCCTGTTTACAGATGTTGTGGTGCCTTAGTAGGTCCAATATTTGGTCCCACGTAAAGTTTGTTCCATTTTTTTTTTGGGGGGGGGAAGAGAGGGTTGTGATACTTGCACAACAACTGGATACTATAGTTAACATTTGAAATTAGACTTTTTCACGTTGAAAATTTTGATCACAGGGTGCTTCTGCTAGACCCATCAGCTTAATTTTTTACTGTATCAAATTAGAGGTCAGTTGCTCAGTTTGCTCGTATAGTCTAGAATCGAAGAAGAAGAAGTATTAATTTATCAAAGTTATTGAAATATTATTCTGAAACGTTTCCAATAAGACTTACTGCTCTTAACTTTGAAAGGATAGGTATAGAGATCAGCTGGTCTGCTTAAAATCTACCCTGACTACTAAAACATAATAAAAAAGGAATATATATATTTTTTCTTTTAAAAAAAGTTCCTGACAAGGATCGAACGAATGCATCCGGCGATCAAGGCCAGCCTTCATCGCCGGATGCATAGGTCCGATCCTTGTCGGGAACTTTTTTTTCAAAGAAAATATATATATATATATATATATATATATATATATATATATATATATATTCATTTTATTATGTTTTAATAGTCAGGGTAGATTTTACGCAGATCAGCTGATCTCTTTACCTATCCTTTCAAAGTTAGGAGCATTAATTTTTATTGGAAATGTTTGAGAATAAAATTTCAATAACTTTGATAAATACATATTTCTTCGATTCTAGACTATACGAGCAACTGACCTCTTATTTGATATAGTAAAAAATTAAGCTGATGGGTCTAGCAGAAGCACCCTGTGATCAAAATTTTCAACGTGAAAAAGTATAATTTCAAAGGTTAAATACAGTATCAAGTTGCTGTGCAAGTATCACAACCCTCCCTCCCCTCCCCCTCAAAAAATGGAACAAACTTTACGTGAGAACAAATTTTTACGTGGGACCAAACAAACTTTACGCTTAACCGCTGCGTCACGGACGGTTTGAAAATTTCTTAATTAGGTAAAATTTCTTCTGAACAATTTCATTTAAAAATTGTTTTTAAATAATTAGGCAACGTTTTCGATTAGGACGAAAAAGGAGATATGTTAAATTCCGGCTAAAGTCATTTTTATTTAGAAAAAGTTCATTCTCGATTTATCGTTTGTCCTGCTTTTTTTTCAGTCAGTTTGTTTTTAAAGAGCATGGTTTTTTGTTTCGATTTGAACTTGTTTCACTACATTTGAAAGTCATTTTTGGTTCATTCCTTATTTTAAAAATTTTTCATCTCTGATTTTGTATAACTTCCTTTCTGATTTAAAGGCTTTTTGGCTTGTTTTATCAGCTTATGCGCCGCCTATTGCGTCGTTTGAAGGAGATGATATTTTTTTCTCGTGCTTTAAATGTATGAACGGGGTGAAATTTTCTATTTTTTGAATTTCTTTAGGACAATAGTATGTTTTCGGCTCAACGGGCGTCTACCCAAGTTTTGTCGGCCTAGTTACCGCTTGGCAATGTTAATATAATTTCTTCTTTAAATGACGGTGATTTTGTTTCTCGACATATCTTTTTACACATGCGAGATCAAGTGTCTTGTGATCGAGAAGTAGGCTTTTTTTACCGTAAATTATTTTTATTACAAATCTTACTTGCTTTTTTTTTCTTGCTTTTTTTTTAAACTTAAAAATTTCCAGGTTCGTTCCCACTTGCCCTAGAGGTAACGTGGTCGCCTTTGCACCCTAAGATCTTGGGGTCGAGTCGCGGGAAGGATCTTGTTTTTTTTTTCAGTATGTATGAAATTGATTTTTTTTTTCGATAAAAATTGAACTGTCGGACTTTCGCTTGTCTGCTCAAATTTCGGCTAAGGTGCCACATCGCCGTTTTTTTCGTGCGTTGAAAGCAAGTATAAAATATTTTCCAAGTCTTGATCATTGTAGTTTCAGGGTTGATTAAATTTTTTCGAAGTTTTCTACAAAATCCTTTTTTTTCGACTCAACTGGTGTCTGCTCAAAGATTATCGGATTTGTCTCCGCTCTGTAAGTTTCGCTCCTTTGCCAATTTAATAGTTAAATGCTTTGCTTGGCATCTTTGCCTAGAATGAACTTGAATCGAGAAAACTTTTATCGATCCGAAAATTGTGGTAGACCGAGCTTTTTTTTTTTAGCAATTATCCTTTTTTTACTCAGGTTTTTTATGTTCGTGCTGTATCGCAAGTGACGCGAAGCTGCGCCCTTCCCTGTGTTATCAATTTGAACTGCCCCGAGACACGTATGAAGTTTTTTTGTTCAAATAGTTAGTTCGACGTTTTTTACGCAAGCTATTGTTGACTCTTATTTTTTTCCGATCAATCTCTCAAAGAGGAAAGCTCATTTGATGACATTTTTGTTTCGATCTGTTTCATTGAAAAATTAATAGCATCTTTTTTTCTGTTTTATTGGTGTCCAGTGCCTGCCGTTAGTTAAGCGTTTGTGGCTTAGAGGGAAGGACCTGAGGTTCCTAAGCTACTTGTCGGAGGTTAAACGGCGCACTTAGCACTAAATTTGTTTTGGGATTTTTGCTGCATAGCATAGGTAATTTATTAGCATCTATAGCTGCGTCTTTTGTCGCTAGTGTTGACGTATTTGCAATGACCCGTGGCGCCGATGCGAGAATGTGAGTCTCCAAGTCTTGAGGTCACAAGTTTGACTCCGACGCGTAGGAATTTTTTTAAAATTTAAATTCGAGGCTTATTTCACTTTTTAGAGCGGCTTCTTGCGTATATTTGCAAAATGCATGTTCGCCTCTGTGTCAAATAGTTTTTTCGACATAGCGAATTTCATATCATTTTCGGTCGGCTGGCTTTCCTTGCTATCTTTGTTGTATCGCAAATGGTGCGAAGCAGCTCGGCTTAGTCATTGTGTTAACCTTTCCTATTGTCTTATCTGAAATAAGTTTGTAGAAGACAAATTGAGACATAGTTATGACAATTTTGGCAGATCAATTTTATTCGTGTCTTTTTATACCTTTCCCCGTAATCAAATGTTCTTACACATCTGTAAGAACTCGTAAAGTTCCTTTACTAGTGAAGCTTTGCAGCTTCGAGACCTTATCCGACGTTGCTTAGAGGTAATTTTTTTGCCTTAGTACCCTAAGGTCTTCGGATCGAGTTCCGGTCGGACCTTGTCTATTTTTTCAGGATATTTGAAATTGAATATTTTTCCCGGGAAAAATTTGAGTTGCCGGACACTTCGTTTGTCTGCTTATGTCTTATCCGCTTAGTTGTTACATCGGGATTTTTTGTCCTGTCTGCAATTTTAATTTAGTGCAAATGCTTTTGGTTTGCTCCTGTAATTTGTAAAGTTAAAACCAATTCGTTGTAATTTTTTCTTGGTTTTAGTTTTTTTTCCGCTTAAAAGCTTTATTTGGCCTAATTGGTTTTGGCTTATGTTTTATTGGCTTTGCTATTTTAATTTGTGCCGCTTCAAAGGCAAAAGATTATTGACTTTGTTGTGACAAATGCAGGTAGTTTGTGTTGCAAGATTTCAAAGTTTTAAAACTTAGTCGCTCACAAAAATTGATGACAAAAATTTCTTTTGGGCATTTTTTTCTTTTCGGATGAATCAGCCCACGTGTTTTCGGCCGGCAAAGGTGACGCTCGTTCAATTCCAAAATCGTTTTCAATACGGGTGGTTGTTTTTCCACTGTTTTTCTGATTTTTTTTTTCATTTTTCTCCCAAAAAAGTTTTGTTTTCGTCTTATTTTCTATTCGATAGCTTGCCGTGCTGCGCGTGCCTTGTATCAAAATTGATGCGAAACTCCGGTTCGCCGCTGTAAAAAAAGTTGTTGTTTTTTTAACCTTTGGTCTCATTTTTGATCGGCCATATTGCAATGCTGTGCTCCGCTTCGCTGTGTAAAAATCGCAGTTTTTTTGTTTAATGTAAAAGCAACTTGACACTCCTATGCAAAAACTTTTTTCGTTTGCAGCCGTGCATGCATACGTTTTGTGGCGGGTGCTACTCGGGCTGGATGACCAAATCCGAAAAGTGTCCCTCGTGTCGTCACTCAGTGGAAAAGATCAGCAAGAACAGACTGGTGGCCAATCTCTGTGAGTCTTACTTGAACACTCATCCGCAGGAAAGGAGGCACGAGCAGGACTTAAAGTGAGAAATATAAAGTTGAACTGCAAGTGAACAAAACATCATTCGAGACAAACCTAAGTTTTTGTAGGCTTTCTTTAAAAAAATTGACTTATTAGTTCCATCTTGTTTGTCTGCTAGTTTGCATCGGCATGTTTGTGTGGTATAGGAAGTGATGTAAAGAAGTGATGTAAAATACTATGCTTTTGGTATCGTATGCTCAGCTTTGTCTCTGTGTAGATAGTGAAATATTTAAAAAGGCGATAATCGGATAACTCGTCGATCATAAACATTATACATTTCATTTTGCGTCGAAAAATTCCAGCAATCAGTGGTCGGATGGCCATAAATTACCTCATACATCAATGAGCTGGCAATTCTCCGAAATACTGATTGATCTAATTTTTTTTTCAAGTTTAGATATATTTCCTTTGGGTTTTTTTCATATGAAGATTATTCACAATTACTTTACATACCCTCTGGAATCGGCTCATGTTTTTGAAATACAGATGTTTTCAGACAGCTGGAGTTATTGAATAAGGTGACAGAGGATGTAATCACTCAGCCGGAGGTGGTTGCGGGTAGTTATGAATTTGACTGGACAAATCAGAGGAGCAGCAGTTCGAGCGAAGAGGAGCAGGACTTGGAAGACGAGGAAGAAGTTAATAGTGATGATGATGAGTTTATGGAATATGAGGACGCTGAACCGATGTTGTTACAATCGTTAGTGACTTACTTTATATAAAATTCTGGGGAGTCTAGGACAGCGATAGATCAGCGATAAGCAATCATTCACGCGCATATTTCCAATCCTGTCGAATATAAGCGCAGCGATATTTGATCGATTTGTATGCATTTTGAATAAATTTTTCATGCTAGCCGAGCTTTATCCTAGTCGATACACCGCCTGTGAGTCTTTTAGAAATACGGTAGGAAGTCAAAAGATTGATTGCGCATGATTTCAGATGGTTGTCTTTTATGCAAATTGAATGTTCAAATCGTTAGTTGAAGTTATTTTGGAGATGTTATTTTGACCTGTGCATGACTATGGAACTTTTTTTTCTGTATTTACGAAAAATTTGAACCCAAATGGCTTGAACATTACATGAAAGTTATTTGACTTCAGTTCAAGTATTTTAACCCATTGAGGTGAATTATTTACTTGTTCATAGCTATTTTTGTTCATTTAAAGGTTTTTCTAGCATTTTGTAAAGCATATTTTCTAGCAAATTGTGTTTATCGTCAGTAATTTGTCTTACAGTGGGACTTCAAACACCACTTTGGAAACGGAGTTTTCGTTTTTTTTTGTATTTAAGGATTCTTTTTTCAAGTCAGGAGAATTGAAGTTAGCATAAAACAAAATTTTGTAACCGATTTGATGGCTAAGTGCTGTGGCTCTATATTTGCTGTCAGAAGTGTGTTACTGCTTCCTAGGTTCGATTTGCTCTCAGTTTTCTCGTTATAGATTTTATTTCGTTTCAGAAGGCGTGCGCGGGAAAGGTTTGAAAGGATCAGTCAAGGCCGTCTTTCAAGTAAGTAATTATCTGCGTGGCAAAAAAATGATAATTTCATTTCAGTTACTTAATTTTTCTCAAAATTTATTTATTATTTCTAAGTTTTCTATATCTCATTTAACAGATAGTTTTTTTGTCAAGATCATTCCTTATTCAATTATGACTGGCTTAGAAACATTTTTGCGTCTATTTTGGTTTAAAAGCAGGTAATTTTGCGCTTACTATTCAGTACTTTTTTGCGGGTGATCGAAAATTACTGAGTGGCCAGACATTTTTTGACTAAAAGCCTTGCGAGTGGTTACAACTTATCAGGTTCAGTGTGTCGCTTTTTGTTAATACATTTATTAATACCAAAGACGAGCCGAACTTTTTTTGAACATTAGTTGTCCAAGATAATGATGTGTTTTCTATCAAAGACAATTGAGTTAGGTAACAAAGCATGCGAACACCTTTTGGTTGATAAGTATTTAGGAAATTGGAATTACGAAGATTTGAGTTTCGATCCTCATATAAATAACATTTCAAATAAACTATCAAAATATTGTGGTCTTTTATATAGAATCAGGTACGTGTTTCGTCGTAAAATCTGTTTAATTACGACAATAATTTCAGAATTTCAATCATTCAGTATGGTGTTATTATACGTTTGCTCAAATGAAACGAATTGCAAGAATATTTTTTTTCCATAAATACCGTGATTCCGTTCGGGACCTGATGATTACACTAGCCAGCTGGCGAGCGTTAGTGTATTAGTACGAACCTTCTTGTTTTCTACCCTAACTCGCAAATAAAAATGTTCATTATTTGATGTCAATGTTCCTTATTTGGTGGAACTTTTGCTATAATCGCGATCTGTAGCATTGTAAATTTCATAGCATCTGTTCTCTGCTTCATTTGAAACTAGCATTTGTGATTAATACAGCGTTGTTCCATAGCTGAGAAGTTAGTTCTCAAGATTCAATTTTGTAGGTCGCAGATCGAATCCGAGACATAGCCGAATTTTTACTAATTCGATGCTTATTTCTACTTCTTCTTTTTGCACTAAATAGAGCTTATTTGTGTCGTGTTCTTGCTACTACTTGCGAAGCGCAGCTTTGCTTCTTTGTTGAAATTAAAATATTCAGAGGTCAATTACATTTGTACGAACTGTTCAACGAGGTAGTAAAAGCAAATTTTTAAAACTAGAAATTTAGACTGTATGAATTTTGTAGAGCGAGGGTGGACTCTGTGTCAATCCTTAAGTTTTGCTGATTCTATTTTTTTCAGAGGTTAGACACAGGTGTCAAATTAATGCTTCAAAATAGGCTGAATAAAGTTTAAAGCTACTTCAATGCTTAAATTGTATAAGAAAAAAATACCTGATAATGATAGCCGATATCGGTTCAGTTGTTATGTTCACAGGATTTTGGACTGCCATTTTATTGATTACAAAGATTTACCCAAGGTTTTTTTATAAAAATTAAAAACAAGGCAGTTTTGAAATTTTGTGGTTATTGAGAGAACAGTGTGCTCTCAAAGCTTTTTTTTACTTTTGAACCAAGAACTATTGTGTAGCTTTTCTATGGATATCTATAAATCATTCATGATTTTGATTTAAGTAAGCTAAAGCCCGTCATGAACTTGTTCACTGGCGACTGTTGCATGGGCTCAGTTGGAAGTCGTTTGTCCAAAAAGCATCCATCATATTCTACAGGTTTGTGGAGGCTCTACGCACATGCCACAGTTAGTAGGGTCTCCACTAGCAAGTTTCAGAACTATAATCATCATAATATGATCAATGTCAACGTAGAAAATTGACTACTGCTACTAGTGGTGGTCTTCAGTGACCTTCCTTTGATGCAGTAAAACAAATTGAGTTTTCCGTTCAAAAATCAAATCAGTTTAATTTTCCTCCAGCTATCTGCTGTGGTTTTTATTCGAAATTTTTTAAATAAAACCCAGACATCAAGGTCGAATGCTTGTGGTGAGTTTCTATCTTCATTTGAACCTATATTTTTTTTACTGTAATTATGTTGTTATGAGGCTTGTGATTCTGCTGGCAGTGAATTTATCTATTTATTATTTAATTTGGCGCGAATTTTTAACAATTGAATGCAGATTACTTTTTTTGACACTGAAAAGAAAGGTCTTCAAAAGTGTTTTGAGCTCTGAAAAAGGCATATTTATCTAAAACCCTGGGTATAAAGTTCATAGTATGGAAATTACGTTGATCCCCCCAATTGCCCAAGTTATTGGGGTTCGATTTTTTAGACGATGGGTCAAATAAGTCGATTTGTATTGCGAGGCTCTAAAAATCAGTTAGTACCGAGTAATTACTTTGGTATTTGAATATAGTATAACTTAACTTAAATTCAACTTATTTTTCCCTTTGCATGTTGAAATCTTAAGTGTTAAGAAAAAACGAGACAAAGTGAAATTCTATTCTTAAAGTCGTGCGGACTCACAGTTTTGTGTAAGAACAGAAGCTCTTTATAAGAACAGATGTTCAGTTTCTACTTGTTTCCACGGATCATGCAGTTTTTGACAGTTTCAGTTTTCGTGCAATGAGGTCAGGAGATAGAGTAGCCAGTCGGAAACCAGTACAATATCACCGTTTTGGAGGCTCTCCTGAGTACTTGATGCGCGATGAAGAAGAGCGTTATCTTGCAACAGAATGTTGTTGTCCTCTCACCATGGAAGAAGTTTTTCATTCAGAATGGCTTGGTAATCTGCTGCATTGACGTAGCCTTCGACCCTGATTAAATTGCTCATACCCGAGCTTCAGATTGGGTCCCAAGCCCTTATTCTCTGGAATTCCGTTGTTGATTTTCTCGTCAGATATCGCCCCTCATATCTTAAAAACTTGTTTGCAGAAGGCCACCTAACGAGGTCTTGACTATTGAATGCAGTTCGAACATACTTTCATCGATAGCTACCTAATTTTGTCAGTGCACCACAATGGTATTCTGATAACAATAGGACCAGTTTAACAATAGGACCAGTTTTGTTATAACCTCCAGATGGTCATGTGCAGACCTTGATAAACGTAAAGCGAAGACTTTTCCTCCAGGTCCAACTTTCATCGGTCTTCCCGTTCGTAACTGCTTCCCCTGAGATACAAGCGAATTAATATTTTCCGTTAGCATGTAAATGTTTTTGAGCCTCTGCTAGAATTTCTCATAAGACACAAAAACAGTCTCCCACTACACACAAAGTACTCCCACACGAGCCCACAAAAAGTCAGTTTAAGCAGGTATAAAATTGTCGCACAACTACACTCTGGAGTGTTATCAATAGTTTTCGGTGTTTGTCCTGTTTCTTTTTAACATTATTGTAAATCTATTATCTATAATATATTTAAATGCGGGCTTCACTATCTCGCCATGGTTAAGCTTTTTCAACGTATTATTTTTGCATGTTTAAGCTGTATCGTATATTGCAATGGTTAAGATTTTTTTTTTCGATTTTCCAGTTTAAATTCAATGTTTATTTTACCAAGTTTGAAATTAGCAACCCAATATTGAGATGCTGTCAGGGCTTCCCCAGGTGTTGCGATTTTCGCCTCCATATATGAGTTACCAAATCTTTTTAGTTTACGAGATACTGCAATTTTTGAGATTTTTCAAAAGTTTGTAAAAAATCTATAATCTATAATATATTTAAATGCGGGCTTCACTATCTCGCCTTGGTTAAGCTTTTTCAACGTATTATTTTTGCATGTTTAAGCTGTATCGTATATTGCAATGGTTAAGATTTTTTTTTCGATTTTCCACTTTAAATTCAATGTTTATTTTACCAAGTTTGAAATTAGCAACCCAATATTGAGATGCTGTCAGGGCTTCCCCAGGTGTTGCGAGTTTCGCCTCAATATCTGAGTTACCAAATCTTTTTAGTTTACGAGATTGCTTCTGAACTTAACTGCTCAAATTCTCGTAGTTTTGGAGATATGACGGTTTTTAGGATTTTTTCTAAGTTTTTCAAAGAACTTCGATATAGAAAAATTCACAAAATTTGAAGTTCTCATCTCTATAGTGAGGCTCTGTCAGGGTAAAGAAAGAAAAATTACCAGGAGTTGCGATTTTTTCCTCCAAATGTGACTGCTAAAATCCTTGTACTTTTCGAGATATGACGTTTTTTGTGATTTTTTCAAAAAAGTTTCAGAAAACATAAATTTAATTTTTTTTTCAAAATCTGAAATTCCCATTTCTGTATTGGGGGCTGTCAGAGTACTCTCAGCGGTTGCGTATCTCGCCTCCAAATATGACTGCTCCAATCCTTGTAGTTTTCGTGATATGAAGTGTTTTATGATTTCTTTTTAATTTTTCAGAAAACTTGGAGTTTAAAAAATTCAAAGGATTTGAAATTCTCAAACTTGTAGTTGGGTACTGTGAGGGTACTCTCAGGAGTGTCACGTTGCAGTGTTGCGTCCAAATGCGATTGCTTTTTGTTTCCGAGATGTGACGTTTGTAGTTTTTCTTAATTGTTCAAAGAACTTAGATTTAAAATTTTTCTTATGTTCCCATCTGATGTTTTTTATCAGGGCACTCATAGGGGCTGCGAGTTTTTCCTTTAAGTATGACTGTTTATCGTAGTTTTTGAGATATGACGTCTTTATGATTTTTTTTCAAAATTTTTTTCAGAAAACCTAAATTTTTTCAAAATTTGGAATTCCTAGCCCTGAAGTTGGGGGCTGTCAGAGTACTCTCAGGGGTTGCGAATCGTGCATGCAAATATGAGTGCTCAATTTTTTGTAGTTTTTGGGATATGGCACTTTCCTTGGTTTTTTTTCAAAAATAAAATTAGAAAAGTTTGAAGTTCTCGACCCTGTAGTTGACTGTTGTGAGTACTCTCAAAAGTTGCAAATCTTGCGTCCAAATGCGACTGTTCAATTGCTTTTAGTTTTCGAGATGTGACGTTTTTCTGTCATTTTAAAAATTTTCAATGAACTGATATAAAAAATCACAAAATTGTATGGTTTTTCAAAATTTGAATTAAAAAAAAGCTTCACTAACTTTACAAAATTTGAAATTACCAACCCTGTGTAATACTTGGGTTATGTCAGAGAGTACACTCAAAGGATATAAATATTATTTCCAATATATGCCGTTTTTATAGTTGTCATAAATTCGAAGCACCGGAGGTGTTACATGCTAGTTGTCTTTAAAATGTTCGCTGCAGTGTAACATTCGTTCCTTGCGTCACATTTGAGGTCAAGATGGATAGGTTCTATAGCAATTGGCTGAAAGGCCAGTGACACTAGCTCTCGTGCTTTTCTACCACATTGGGTTGGAGCCATTTCGTGGTTCACTTAAACACGGAACTTTCGGATCGTTACAGCTTTAAGGCCACAACCAAAATTACCCTAAAATAGAACTTCCATATGGCCAGGTCTCTAATTAGTTTAAACACGCGAACGCCGTCAAAAACAGGGCTGGGAACCTATCGTTGTTATTTTTTTAATTGGACAGCGTGTTTGATCCAACTCAGATGGATCAACCTAACAATCACCTTATGTCAACAAAATCAGATAAAATAGTCTCAGGTTTTTAAATTCAGGAGCTCAGGACGTTACAAATTACTTTGGAAAAATTTTCAGAAAGGTAATCGATCTGTTATTGAACAAAATAAGGTTATCATCCTCGCAAGGCTCAACTTAAAATTCATCGAGCTTAAAAATATGAGTGGATATTTTTTTACGTTTTTTTGGGCTGAAAATTGCATCTTAGATCCAAATGTTATTGTTATTACCTTTTTAAAAAGTTTTTTCTTTCAAATATTGTTCACGTATCTACCTTGCTGTTTGAATTACTTTAGCTCGGGTAAACATTGGGTGTGCAGCTAAATTGTGCTTCGTCTATCCTCTTCAGAAAATACACACAATTCATATTATTTCGATAATTTTTTTATACTTACTGTATTTGTATCTGTCTGAAGAAATAAGCTCGTTCTTTCCTGTTTTTTTCTAGACCGGCACAGCATCTTGCCTGTAATAACGTGCCTCCAGTGTCCTTCCAGACAACATGGTCTCACAGTGCCAGAAACTATGCGACCCTACACTTGTCCGGCAACTAATGCGAGACACTTGACATGCCAATGTTGCGCCAGGTTTGCCGAATTGATATGAAAGTATATGATCATAAAAACGTATGTGGTATATAGAATTATAAAAATTAAAAAAATAGTGTATAAAAAGTACTAGCATGTCATTGTGCATTTGTGATGGAGGGGTTCCAAGAAACAGCTAGAGTCCTTTTCTTATGTAAATTATAGTGCTTCAAGGTTGTTCAATTTGTAATTTTTGTGTGGCTCGAAGAATCAAATAAAACCTTGCGTATACTTTTTAGGTTAACTAACCCTGAGAAATGGTCTTTCAAACAAGCGATCGACTTTGTTTATTTGCTAAATTTGCTGTATTGGCTTCTTTTTAGTCTCATGCGGGATCCTTCTCTCGCAATTAGTTTTTACAGTGACACATCTATCACATTTCTACCATTCATATAATTATATATTAAATTCGGCTTCAGTTTTGTTTGTTTCGTAACTCTATGAAAATTTTCTTAATCTAGGCTATATACGCCAGACTGCCCTAGTTGCGGCAGAAAATTCCAGAAAAGTTATTTCAGGGATCTGATCGATCAAGTCTCTTCAAGTATCAAATTTCAATTTAGGTAAGAAAACCAATTTTTGACAGACCAGCTCTGATTTTTCCCGAAAAACTATACCAAAACCAAAATATTAGTTTCTTGTTTAGCAGCGTGACATGAATGTTTTTTTTTAATTGGGTGTTTTTGACATATCAGGTTGGAGTATATTTTGATTTTATACTCCAACCTGATGTGTCAAAAAGACTCAATTCAACAAAAAAAAGCAAGGGGGTTGTCCTGAAAATTTATCCTTTTTAATAATCTATCTTTTAGTTGGACAAGCGGAGCGTAGTTGCGTATTGCGAACTCCTTCTCTCGACCCAAGTAGCAAAAAAATTGCTCACTTATTATTTGGTATTTTTGCAACAACAATATTATATCTGGATTACTTTTGCTGCATGTAACTATATCTTTGAAGATTGACAAGCACCCGTGTGGCTATTAATTTGTAGGTCGGGGGTTCCTTTCCGTCAAATACAAAGTCTTGGGCTTCGTGTCCGACCGGGACCAATTGTTTGCAAACTAGAAATTTGCTTTTTCAGCCTATCCAGCTGTTCTTTTGGTCGGTTTAGTTTCCGTAGAATTGACTCTTTTCAGAGGTTCAGCTTTCTCCTAACTTTCTGAATGGCATTTCTAAGGCCCATTGGTGGAGATTACCGAGTTACAAGATCTTATGGTTTTTTTCCAAAAACTTTTTTAAAAAGTGTTTCAGAAAAGATTTTTATAAAATTTGTTAATGGTTTGCTTCGTCGATTAATGTGCACGTAATAATTACTCATGCGATTTTTCCTCCTCACTATTGTGGCAATCGTTAGCACTGCCGAACACAGACTGTTTCATTTCCACATATTTTTTCTTATCTGAACACAAATAATGTGTCCAACAGAATCACCGAATCATTTTCTCAAATCCGCTCTCAACCGGCAGACAGATTTTGATCATATCAGCGTTTCAAATACCCATTCTATTTACACCAGCAATGCTTGTGTTATAGTATGAACTATCTTTTTTTCAACCTAAGTCGCAATTATTGTTGCGATAAAATGTGTTCATTTTGAAAGTGTTCATTTTGATCAATAACCAGCTATTAAGTACAGCCAATGCTAAGCATTTTAACGCAGACTGTTTTTGTTTCCGAAAGTAACGGAATTATTTGTGCTCGGGGTGTTTTTTTTCAAGCAAATTTCGACTTTTTAACTAGCCATTTTTTACGGATTTTTTTGTCATTCAAAAGGTACTGCTGTACTGAGCTTAAATTTGGAAAGATATTTCTCCTGTAAATCATTTTTCGTGAAGTTATGGGGGTTTAAAAATTGCCATTTGGGACAAGTAACGAGCGATATATTTTGCGCTATTAACGTGTAAGCGGAGATTTAATCCGTCATAGAAATCGTTCCAAATTGGTTGAAGGATGCTTATTTGCCATAATTGATTTGTTGCTAGGAGCAAATCTTATCACTTTGTACTTAATATGGGCATGTGGGGGATGATTTCCACAAAAATCCCAATTTAAAAAAAAATCTTTTTTTTTGTTACATTTGATTTTTTAATGTTATTACTGATCCATAGACTGCTCTATAAGATGAGGCATGTTAGTTGGTATTTTTTGACTGGTACTGCTAATGTGTCATAATTGGCGTGAGTCACTTAAGTTTTACGCATTCAGTTTTTCACAGAAGCGTTAACGGTCATATTTTTGCTTGTGTATGCGAAGTGCAACTTCGCTTCTGTCTTAATATTTAAATAAATGTTTTCTGTGCGTGTGAGTTTTTTGAGCGGGGTAATTAATATTTTTTGCAACGTTTGTAAGCGTTTTATTGAGAGTAATGAACATAGTGAGTACTGTTATATAGGTCTTGCATATTTTTTTTTCGTTTTTTTTTTCAGGAAAAAGTCTTAACACATGTTCACGCTGAATTTTGATTTTTCGCGGTTGGATTTCGCGGGATGAATTCTTTTTAATATTAGTGAGTACTGTTATATAGTTCTTGGTGATTTCTTGTTTTTTTTTGAAAAACTAAAATTTTGTTCCCGCTCAATTGTGATGCTTCGCGGTTTTAATTGTGATTTTATTTAAGTTCAGTGCATTTCCATCGTTAAAAGCAATGCAACTCCACTATCGAACAGCAAAATTGTAAACGCCACAAAAAACGTGATTGGCTTTTAATTTCGAAAATGGAAATTAATTATCAGATTTCCCAGTGAAATAAAAAGTGTTATCTATTGATCCAGTTTTCTCAATATGGGTTTATTTTAACAAAAAAATGTCCATCATAAATTGTTCTACAAATTCGAAGAGCTTTAAGACCATCTATTTCGTTCTTCGAAATTCAAAAGTTGAAGATTTTGGAGAAAAAAAGCAAGTCCGTTTTTTTCAGTTTCCTTGCGTTCGTTACTCTTTTTCAACTGTCAGTTGTCTATAAATTTTTTAGGAAAAAGTCTTTAAACTATCGATTTTGGGAGCTTTGGTGTATTAGTATAGACCTTCTTTTTTCTAACCTATCTCGCAAATAAAAAGTACATAAAAATTGTTCTTTTATTTGGTGGCACTTTTACTAAAATCACCATCTGTAACAAAATTTCATTGCATCTGTTCTTTGCTTTTTCTGCTATTGTTTGTGATTTTTAAGCGTCCGTGGCTGAGTGATTAGTACGTGAGAGTCATAATCTCTAGGTCGCACTTCAAATTTGAGACGTAACCGAATTTCACTAATTTGAGGCTTATTTCTATTTTTTTCTATTGCATTTTGTACAACTGCTTTTTGTCGTGCTTTCGCTTGTGTTTGAAAGCACAGCTTTGCCTCGCGTAAAATCTGGGACACTCAGTTTGGATTTCTTTTCAAATTCATTAATTTCCTTTGTTTAAAGAAAGGCCAATTCCACTATCAAAAATGTAAAGGTCACGAAAAATGTGATCAACTCCTAATTTCGAAAATGGAATTGAATCATCTGCTTTCATAGCGAAATAGAAATTTAACCTGTTGATCCAGTTCTCTTAGGTTAATTGTATCAAAAAAGCTCTAATCGTAAAAGCTTCAAGGGTATATATTTTTCAAAAAACTAGCCTGTTTTTTTTCCTGTTCCCTTGTGTCCATTACTTTGTTACAACTGTCAGTTGGCTATGTTTACGCTTACGATCAAGCTTTATCAAACTGGAATATAGACTTTTTTCGGGTTTACAACTTGTTTAACAGAATCACTTGTAACTTGTTTCATGTTGAATTCAAACTTTTATGCATTCACGGCCAACTTAGCCTGAAGGCAATGAATATGGCTGGGAAGTCAAAGGTTCTGTGTTCGAAGCTGACCAGGACCTGTTTTTGTTTATTCAAACGAGAATTATTGTTTCAAATAAAAATGACCTTTTCTCGCTAACTATCCTCCCAAATCTGATATCGTATGTTTAATCAAAACAACAGTTTGTTGAAAGTCTTTCTTTATAACTGACTATGCCCACTTCTTTGAAGAAAAAAGTTCAAATAAGTCGAAGTTTTGAAACTTTTTGTTTTTTTTTTGCAAACTTTTTGACATAACGCGTAAATTACCGTAACAATTACCGGTTGTGTTCAATCGAGATAGCCGGTTTTGGGAATTTGTCTGCTTAACCGGCCACAACCTGCTATTTGTAGGAAAAAGGCATGGATTTAAGAAGTCCTTTTGACCGTTTTTTAGAACTTTTGACCGTTTTTTAGAAACTTTTTGCCTTTTCTTAAAATTTACACAATCAAATCTGAGATGAAATGTTCAACTGAAAGAAACGGTTGCGATAATAGTTCCTGCAATTGCGGCGGCTCTGAACTTAATTTTATGTAAAATTTCCAAATTTATGCAAATTTTATTTTTTGTAGAGAAATGTTCTCCCTGGGAAAATTGATTATCTCAAAAGTTTTTACTCTTCTCACTTATTTCAGGAGAGAAACAACTAAGGCTTTGGGCAAAGTTCAATTTTTGACATCACTTTTTTCCTGCCGCATCAGTGTAGCCTATTCATTCAGTATTAAAAACATACCTCCAGCTTTAACTGGGCCGCTAGTTGTTTTTATCTAGACGTACGAAAATGTTGGTTCACCTAGTGTTTTTCAACATTTAAATTATTTTTTCGAGTGTTTTTCTGTTTGTGTTGTATCGCAAGTGGTGCGAAGCTCTGCTTCGCCTATGTGTCAAATTAGTTTTTGGCTCAACGTGTGTCTGCTCAAAAATTTAATTAACTTTTCATAAGTTTTGTACCGATGCAAATTTGTCTGTTATTAAGAGTAATGAACGTAGTTAATTCGCTTATTTAGGTCTTGTTGATTTTATTTGTTTTTTTTTTTTCAGGAAAGTCTTGAAATTTGTTCACGCTCAATTTTGATTTTTCGCGGTTTGACTGTGATTTTTTCAAGTTCAGTGCATTTCTATTTTTAATAGAAAGGCAGAATCCACTATCGAACAGCAAAAGTGTAAAGGTCACGAAAAACGTGATCGACTTCTAATTTCGAAAACGGAAATTAATTTTCAGATTTCCCAGCGAAATAAAAGTTTTGCCTTTTGATCCAGTTTTTCAAATTGGGTTAATTTTTCCAATTATATGTTGGCTACGTGTTATTTAAAAAAGTAAATTTAAGTCAAGGCAATTTTGGAAATAGGTTTTTTTTTCAGAATTTTTGGTAGAGTAGGTTTTCTCAACATTTTCAAAAACAATTTCGACTTAACGGTTTTTATCTCAATTTCTGTCTGCTTTTTTGTGTTTGTGTTGTATTGCATGTGGTGCGAGTGTCTGTTTTACAATATTTTTCATAGTGCTTTTAGTGACAAGAATGCAATGACTAGAGAGCCTGATGTCTTCATCTCTCTGAAATGATGATTTTATCCAATTAATAAAGGTTTTCGATAATCCGATTTTTTTCCACAAATGATTGAATGGCCGGAGTGTTGAGCTTGTAAAAAGAGTATTCATGATTTCATAGTTAGAAAGAGAAAAAAATAAAGTGGTTTGTCTTGCAAAAAATTTTCATAAGTCATATTCAAATTTTTCAAGAGTAATGAACGTAGTGAAGACTCTTAAGAAGGTCTTGCTGATTTTTTTCAGTTTTTTTTTTCAGGGAAAAGTCTTAAAGTTTGTTCACGCTCAATTTAAATTTTTCGCGGTTTCACCTGTGATTTCTTTTTAAGTTCAGTGCATTTCTATTGTTAAAAAGAAGGCAAGCTCAACTATCGAACAGCTAGTTTGTAAAGGTCACGAAAAACGTAATCGACTTCTAATTTCGAAAATAGAAAATAATGATCAGATTTCCCAGTGAAACAAAAGTTATACCTATTGATCCATTTTTCTCAAACTGGGATAATTTCAACTAAAAAGTGTCCATCATAAACTGTTCTACAAATTCAAAGAGCTTAAAGACTATCTAGTTTTTTATTCGACATTCAAAAGTTGAAGTTTTAAAAAAAAAAACACGTCGGTTTTTTTCAATTTCCTTGCATTCATTACTCTTTTACAATTGTCAGTTTGCTATGTTTTTCAAATACTTCTCTAGGTAAGTATGCCTGGCTTTTTTCGTTTTTCAGGAAAACTTTTAAAATTTATTCAGGCTAATTTTTTTTTCGCGATTTGACTTTTGATTTCTTTTTTCAAGAGTATTGATTTCTTTTTAATCTTAGTGAGTACTCTTATAAAGGTCTTGGTAATTTTCTTGTTTTTTTTTTGCTCAATTGTGATTCTTAGCGGTTTGAATTGTGATTTCTTTTTAAGTTCAGTACATTTCCAGTCTTAAAAGGAAGCCAAACTCTAGTATCAAACAGCATATTGGAGTGTAAAGATCACGAAGGGTGTAGCAAAAGTCACGAAAAACATGCTCAGATTTCCCAGTGAAATAAAATCTGAGTGCTGATCCAGTTTTCTCAAATTCGGTTGATTTTAACAACAAAGTATCTATCATTAACTGTTCTGCAAATTCCAAAAGTTTAAGAGGCATCTATTTTTTTCTTCGGAGCTCAAAGATTTATGAAAAAACAAGTCAGTTTTTTTTCAGTTTCCTTGTTCATTACTATTATTCAAATGTCAGTTGGCTGTTGTTCAGTTGCTAATTTGATTTTCGAAGGTCTTGCTTGGCATGTTTTACACATGCGGAGCGTAGTGTGATACTACAAGGCAACTTGTTTCCAGCCGAAGTCACGAATATTGCTTCTAATTTCTTGAGTAATGAACGTAGTAAAAACTCTTTTATAGGTCTCGGTGATTTTATTTTCAAGGAAGTATAAAATTTGTTAACGCTCAAGTTTAATTTTTCGAGGTTTGATTTATCATTTTTTTTCAAGTTCGGTGCTTTTCTATTGCTAAAAGGAAGGCAAACTCCACTATTGAACAGCAAAAATGAAAAGGCCACGACTTCTAAATTCAAAAATTAAAATTCATTATAAGGTTTCCAGCAAAATAAAATTTGAGTATTGATCCAATTTTCTAAAATTGGGTTAATTTCATGAATAAATTGTCAATCATAAATTGTTTTAGAATTGCAAAAAGGCTTAAGGCAATCTTTCGTTTCTTCGAAAATCGAAGGCTGAGGTAAAAAAACAAGTCAGTTTTTTTTTCTGTTTCTTTGCGTTCATGACTCTTTTCCAACTGTCAGTTGGCTATGTTAAGTTCAGTTCATTTGCTTTGTTTAAGTGAAGTCAAATCTAATATCGTGCAAAAAAAGTTTGAAGGTCACGAAAAATGCATTCGATTTCTAGTTTCGAAAATGGAATTTCATATTCAGATCTACCAGCGAAATAAAAGTTTTATCTATCGCTCCGGTTTTTTCAAATTGGGGTAATTTTATCGAAAAACTGCTAATCAGATTTTGTTCTAGAAGTTCAAAGAGCTTAAAGGGCATCTATTTTTTTTAAATTCCAAATTTAGAAAAAAAAACCAATTTTTCCAGGAAACAAGTCAATTTTTTTTCTATTCAATTGCGTTCATTGACTCTTTTTCTGTTGGCAATGTTTTTAATTTCAATTCATATTCATTTGCTGAAAGGAAGGCAAATTATGCTCTCCAATTACGAAAGTTCAAAAATGTGACCGACTTTTAGTTTTGCAAGTGTTTTTGAGATTTGCCAGTTGAATGGAATGAATAAAAAAGTAACAGTTATCCTGTTTTCTCAAATTAGGTTACTTTTAGAAAAAAGTGTCAATCAGTAAAGAAACTTCAAAGTTCAATGTGATATTTTTTATTTCCTTAAATCTTGAATAGTTTTTTTTTTTGAAAAGTCAGTTTCTTTTTTGGTCTCTTTGAATTCATTAACACTTTTGCTAATGTGATGGCTTTGTTTGTTTGCTAAAGTTTGTACACTGCTTGAGAAAAAGAAAGTTTTATTAGCGTTTACTCCTAACTTTTCGTTGGAGAATTGAAGGTCTGTTTTTTTGCGCTAGATTTATGCCAGATCGCAGAGCAAGAGTAACCTTGTCAATGCAAGGGGTTGTTGCCGTTGATGCTGGTAGTGCAGAGAACAATGAAATAGGCAGTTCATCTTCATCATCCGCATCAAGCAGCAACAACAGCAGTGTACAGCAAGAATGGCTGACCCAGATGTGCTTCAAATGCAGCAAGCCTTTTTGCAGACTCTATTTTGGCACCTGTGATTCAGGAAATAGGTGAGACACAACTGCTCTCCTACTCCTAAATTTCAATTTTATGAGCTCATTAATGCTTTACAAAGTCATGCATGAAGCACGATTGTCTTTTGACTTAGCTTTTTTTGGTGCTAAAAAGTTTCGTGAGAGTTGGACAGCATACAGCTTAGACCACTGGAATTTAAAATCAGCATGCAGTAATACAGTAAATACATTTTTTGTTTCGATCATCAAACGTGAGATCAAATTTTTTGTATTTGTTTGTTTTGTTCCACGCAAATCAGGTACCTGAAAGAGTTTTTAGGGGCGGTCGATGGAGTTCATTTTCGGCATTTGGTGTGATCGCACCATCATCACTGCTCCCAATTTAAAACTATTGGTTTGTTTAAGGCCTGGCTGTGTAACGTGCATCGACTACTTCAAGGAATTCCGGTTTACGGTGCACGAGTTCAACGCCATGTTAAATGGAAACAGATATGAGTCCCTCATTCTCCAAGACTATCTCAGGGTATAAAGGACCAATTTAACACCTTACCACCTGAATGAATAGGCCACCAAGTTAAGATCTTCGACCCTCTAGAAACTAAAATAATCAATTCTTCTAGGTTGAAAATTCCATAGAATCAAGTTAACAGCCTCCCAGAAACTCAGGGTTGAGGATGTTAACTTGATCCGCTTACTGTATTGGGAACTGTTCGTACAGATATAATGGGCTTTTTGTGGAAGACTTTGTCAGGGGGAGGGTATCAGATAGGAGAACGTCTGCCGTCGTAAAACCCTTCCTGAATATCAGTGAAAGAAAATAAATCCCACCAGAGTTGGGCAAATTGATCAAGCAATCCTATAAAATGGGAGGTTTTGAACTAATGATCGATTGAAGAAGTTTTTAACAGCCTGTGCTAAAACGGCAAACGAAATATATTGATGTTATAACGGCTTTAAAATATAAGTAAGTTTAAAACGGCGTCGTGAAGTTAATTGTTTTTCTTGGATAGTGATTAATTATTGATCAGATTCTTTGATTAATCAAAAAAATAGGAAGTTAGAACAGTTTAGAAGAGTAAGAGCAACATTTTCCAGTCAGATAACGAAGAACTAACCCACCATTTTTGCGATATGAAGTTTGAAAGCCACCGATCAGTACTCAAATGACTAAATTAAATGAAATGCAAAGCACTCAAGTGAATAAACTAAATTCACCTGTTAAATTATAGGGGGGCTCATCAGATATTTAGATCAGTATTTGGACTAATTTGTAGTTTTGATGAATTTTAGGACAGAGAAATCAGTCTGGCAGATTTCTTCGTAGACCATATTCTCACCCAACTACCATATATGGAGAGTGACTCGATTACTGCAACATCGCCTCAACCCTTAACCGCCGACACCATAATTTGCCGACAATGTGCCATACGAAGTGCTGGACTTCTGTGCTACGAGTACCGAAAACGAATTCCCGAAGATCAGCTCCCGAGGACTGTGACGAATCGACCGAATTGTTGGTACGGCAGAAATTGTCTCACCCAGAGAACGCGAGATCACCATGCGCGTAACTTCAACCACATTTGCGATCAAACGAGATAGTTCAAAAAGCTACCAGAACTGATTTTCGAATAACTAGATTTGAATTTTTTCTCTTGCTAGCTAGAGCTGGCAAGTAATGTTGATTAGATTATTGGGTCCTGAATTTTTTCCAAATTAGAATTAATGATTTATTGATTTTCAATTGCAAATTTGTGGACTGCACATTTGAAATGATGATTTTAAAAATTCACTGTACAAAGTAAATTGCAACAAAACAATTAACTATCTTCAATGAACTTTTGTGAAACTGAATTATGAGATCTTTGATCAAAAGCGGAGTTTGATCGACACCTGATCACCCAAAAAGTCCCCCTCTAACTAATTTACTTCCATTTTTGCCTGACCTACTCTAAATTTTTTTAAAGACGCATAATACTAATTCTGAGGTGGAGAGTGCTCCATAAAACGCAATTTTTTTGGGCAATTTGTGGCTAGAGTTTGACGTTCGGCAAGGTCCGTGACCGAAGGGGAAATGCTTCAGGCTGAAAATCTTGAGGTCGGAGGTTCGAATCCGTAAGTAGGTTTATTTATACTTTTTTTAGTTCCATTTATAGGGCTGATTTTTGTCGTTTTCTTGCTGCAAAGCTCCGTTTTGCCCCTTGGTTCAGTTTTTGTTCGTAGTGAATGTAAGTCATTGAAACACTACAAGTTTTCTTTTTGATACGTTAATCAACCTCACAGTCACTTCTTCATTATTAACTTCCGTTCTAATTTTTTCGTCCTCAAATGATTTTTTTTGCTTGATTTCCGGTCTATATTGTCTCAGAACAATTTGATAATTTTGCTCAACATTTTTAAATTTTTTCCGTTTTTAATTATCAGTTTGAGCTGATTTCCGCTTTTTTATAGTAATTTTGTTTCATTTCTCTGGTTCTGCACATTTCATATGCTTCAAAATATTTCTGTTTTTCACTTTTTTGTTAATTTTGTTTTTCACGCCCTGCATGTTTTGGAAAATTGTTCTTTTTGTCTAATCTGAATGTCTGTCTTTCTTGAGAAAATTGCGTTTGTTTTTTGGTTCATAGTTTAACAGATAAAATAATTTGGTTAGTTTTTTAATGTGTTTGATATCTTGTTTATTCTGCTTTGTTTCTTTGTTTTTTTTTGAATTTTTTATATATCGAATTTTTGTTACGTCGTTTGAATTCGAATATCGAACATCAACTTCAAATTTTGTTGCAGTTTTTGGGAAAATTTTCTGTCAAAATGCCTGATTCTGAGTTAATTCGTCTTGGTTACTGTAAGCTGAATTAAAAACTTTTTGTATCATATCAATGTTTGGTTTATTTGAAAATGATACCAGAATAAAAGAGATTTTTTAGGATTTTTTGTCATCATTTTTAATTTATACATGATTTTATTGCTTGTTTTTTGAGCAATTAAGTGCACTACTATCAAGTTTCTGAATTTTTATTTTATGTTTCCATTTTCTTGCTTATGATAAAAAAATTCGCTATTCCAAGTTTTTTGCATCAGAAGTTGTTCGAAGCTCTGCTTTGCCTTACTGTATAAAATTTGCCCATGATTTTTTTTTCTAGGGTACCCCTTTTTTGCTTAAATTTAAGGAAAATTTATCATAATACCTTCTATTAGTTGTTTTTGACTGTAAAGAAACCTATACTGTTAAATATTGACGATTTGGAGGTAAGCTGGGCTGATTTTTTTCCAAATTCGAGTTTCTGTTAAAATGAAATTTGTTTAAAAAATGTCAAATGATTTCAATAATGAAAATGTTCACAAAATGGACAAAATAAATGATTATTTTTTCTTAAACACCATTTTTAATATAGCTTCCAGTAGTTGCATATTAGGTAAGGGCTTTGTGTGCCTGTTAAGAAGTGCTTTGAGACTATTTTTTCTGTGCCGAAAACTTTAAATTTTGTCGGCTTATTTTCTTTGTTGTTTTTTTTCGATCAAGATATCTTGTTTTTATATAGAAGTGATTGAATTTTTGATAAGTTCAAGAAAAATATCAATCAAACTCCTAGCTTTTTTACAAAAGAAAAAAAATAAACTTTTAGAAAAGTGAAAAAATCGAAAAGTTCTGAACATTTTCTAAATCTTTTAATCTGAATTCAAGTATCAGCCTTGGTTCAAACATGGTTGTTTTCAGTTTTTCGATCGACCGCGTTATTGGAATTGTTTGGTGCAGACGAACTAGCGCATTAGTTTTTTGACATTTAATTTTTTTTAATTGGGTGCAACTCCATATATTTTTAAGGTAGCCGTTTGATTTAAAATCCGAGGACCAATCAAGCCTGAAATCTTATCAAATCAAAAGCAAATTAACTCAAAATTTTCATCAATTTTGTTCAAAATTGCCAAACGAATGTGTTTTTCCAATTTACTTGTTCAATTTTTTCTTTTCTTTAAAAACCGGCGTTTGTTCTTGGCTTCAGAACTTTTCACAATCCTTTGTTTGTTCGTAGCCACTGTTTATTTCTTGTTTGTTATCTCCTTTTTTGAATTGAGTTTTTTCAGCAATTTTTGTTCACAAAAGCATAAATATTAAGATTTTCAATTGTTTTAATTGTTTCTGAAATGTTTCGTTCTCATTAATTTGCTGTTTTTATGAAAGTTTTGAGTTGTTTTTGACTTCAAAGTTTTTCAAAGTTGTTTGTTTGTTCTTTGCAAGTGTTTTTTTGTTTCGTTCCTCTATGTTTGAATCGAGTTTTTTCAAGTAATTTTCTGTTCAAACAAGAAGAATAAATTTGAGGTTTTGAATTTTTAATTCATGATCAATACTATTTTGTTCATACTTGAAACAGTAAATGGTAAAAACTATCATTTAGTTTTTTTTTATTAAATGTATTGCAATTTATCCTCTGCAATATCAATGAGCTACTAGCGTGAAAAAAACTGTCGCGCAAAAATTGATACAGCTTCGAGAATTTTTTCTTGAAACTCAAATGAAAATTTCACGACAAAAAAAATGATTTTTTGCCAATTATCTGGCTGAGCTCATTTTTGAAAAAAGAATTCAAACTATTATAACCAGATTTTTGGTTCAAATTTTTTTGCTAAACTTAAGTAATTGAAGTTACGTAAGAAAAATTAAGTGTTTTCGAATTATGTTATAAATCCTTTCTCGGATACTTGTTTTTCGGATAGTATTTATCGCGAACAGTTGTTTGACTCAATATTTTCTCACCTAACCTTTGTCGTTTACTTTTCAACTTGGATTAACTTTGAATGTCGTTTTTCGCAAATTTATGTGAGAAAAAATGCTTAAGAAAAAGTGCTTTTTTGTTGCGCAATGCTTAACATTCAGTTTTTTTTTTTTTTTTCACTTTTTCTGTTGCCTTTCATCGATCTACTGATTATATTAATTAGTCTTGAAAGTTGCCTGCAATTTTAAATTGGTTTGAATTATAAAAAAAAATAGATGTTATAGCTTATCCGGAACAATTGGTCTAGCGGTAACGACTACGTCCGGGACGGCAAAGGTCCTATGTTTGAATCTGAGGACCAAATTCTGTTTAAACTGGAAATGCCCTGTTTGAAAATATTGTCCATTTATGTTTAGTTTGTCCATTTATGTTTCACCAGTTTAGTTGCCACATCATGTATTTCTCCTGTGCTGTTAGTTGTTTGCATTTTAAGTGAGAGTGCTTTTAATGTAGTCTTTCATTTGGCAAACTTATCAAAACTAATATTTGTAATTCCTTTGTGTTTTAGCTAAAAAGCTTTACTTGCTCTAACTGATTCGAATAATGTTTTATCGGCTGAGTGACTTGAATTTGTCCTTTAAAAAAATTGACTTTGTCAATTTGTGTGCTTCCAAGGGGGATAACAAATTCAAAGTTTCAGAATTCATGTCATAGAAATTTAAGGGTTTTGTAATTGTTCCGACTTTTGTAACGAAAGTAACGGAATATTTGTGCTCGGGTGGGTTTTTTTTCTTGAGACAAAATTCGACTTTTTACCTAGCCATTTTGACGGAAAGTTTTTATACCATTTAAAAGGTATTGTTGTCTTGAGCTTAAAATTGAAAAGATATTTCACCTGTGATATTTTTTCGCAAAGTTATGGGGGTTCAAAGATTGCCATTTTGGCCAATTTGGAACAATTAATGCGCGTCTTAGAAATTGTTCCAAATTATTTGAAAGAAGCTTATATGCCATAATTGAATTGTTACAAGGAGCGAAATTTATCCTTTTGTATTTTATATGGCGTTATTCTCAAAAAAAATCTCAAATTTTAGAAGAAAAAAAATTCATTTTATTTTATTTCGTTTAATTTTTTATGTTATTACTGCTCCAGAAATCTTAAAAGTCAGTCGGAACATTCAGGGTTTCGTCTTGATACGAGCAACCTTGTTGTGGCTTTGTTTTTGATTTAATGGTTTTTTTCAAATTCTGTTTCATTACTTGCAAGGCTATGTCTGTGCTGTATCGCAAGTATTGGGAGGTTCTGTTTCATTTCTTTGAAACTCATGATAATTTTTTATTAACTTTTGTAACTAGAAACGGTGCTTATATAAAAAATATAAAAGTAAGCGAATAGAGGTTGAAATATAAGAACAACAAACATGTTTTTGCTTGTGCACAAACAGATGAAACTGCACCCGATTTAACTCATTTTTCCAACTATGTGACCGAAGTTTCGTTTTTCTAGACAATTTTTGCCACTTTAAAACCTTTTCGATACCATGGTTTTTCGGTAGCGGAATTAACATTTGTGCGACAGTTAAAATCTGGAAAATAGTCGCAAAACTTGACTCGGGAAAGCTCCATATCTTTTCCGAGAAGAAAAATGATGATTTAAAATTCAATTTGAAATACTTCAAAAATATTCATTTTTGTTCCAACTTTCGAAGAATAATTATACTTGGGTTTGTTTTTTGATTCAGTAAAATTTGGATTTTTGAACTCAGCTTTTTGACAGAATTTTTTTAAAGTATTCGAAAAAATATTTTTGTCCTGAGCTCAATTTCAAAAAATTTTTCTACCTGTGAACTTTTTTCGCAAATTTACGGGGCTTTGAAAATTGCGAAATTGGCCAATTTGTGATTGTTATTGCGTGCTTAAATCACGCGTAAGCGACAAATTAATGCCTTTTACATTGAATTGAGGCCAGCAAAATATTCTTACTAAAATAATACTGGACGCTAAACACACTATTTGTATGTCTCATAGCCTGTGGGAGTATAATATGAAAAAAAGTAAAAATTTGGCTTTAAAGTGTAGTAAGACAATTTAAGGCT